TCTTCTCATGGCGGAATATTACTGCCAAAAGTCACGTGACTCACTCACGTGACTTTTGGCAGTAATATTCCGCCGTGGCTGGCTCATACACACTCACACATGCTCACTCACACATGCTCCACAGCAGCAGGGGGCGCTACTGAGTCCATTGGGAAGGCGGGAGGTTGAGCAGAGCATGGAACAGCCCTTGCCAGTCTGATGACAGCAGTGTTTCTAGCGATCCAGCGATCTGGGTCAGTGTTATTGTGATAATATTATAAACAAGGTGAATTTAGCGATCACAACGAAAACAGCCAAGACACATATTGAGCCCAGAAAATGAATGTTATTAGGGCTGTAAATATAATAAGCCTTTGTCTAAAACAGGCCCGGCTTCAGGATGAAATGACTGAGTGGGCTGTTAAAAAATCCGAGGGGGCGATTTCTTTTCACAACGAAAAATACTGGCATATAATGAATTGACACACCAAGTTGTTTTCCTTCTCACTGCTCTACAATCTCTTTGCTTCTTTATTTGTTTTCCAGATTGACCCCTCTCATTCTGTTATTTTCCTCTGATCTTTAATAATAGCCATGAGAAAAATCAAATCAATGTTCCAGAATCGCTGTGTGGTTTAAATCTCCTTATTTACAATGTTGTCCATTTTAGACAAAGGCTTATTATATTTACAGCCCTAATAACATTAATTTTCTGGGCTCAATATGTGTCTTGGCTGCTTTCGTTGTGATCGCTAAATTCACCTTGTTCAAACACTGACCCAGATCGCTGGATCGCTAGAAACACGCTGTCATCAGGCTGGCAAGGGCTGTTCCATATGGAGGACGGAACATGACTTAAGTATAAATAAATAAATGTATGAAGAAATACAGGAATAAATAAATAAATAAATACGTAAATTAATAAATAAATACAGGAATAAATAAATACAGGAATAAATAAATGACGAAATAAATACAGAAATAAATAAATGTTGAAATGAATACACAAATAAATAAATAAAAGAATAAATGCATACATAAATGCATAAATAAATATGGAAATAAATACATCAATGTATAAATAAATAAATAAAAGTCGAAAATAAAACAGAACACACGTTATTATATATCTTTCATTTATTTCTACATTTACGCAACATACATTTATTTATTTATGTATTTATGTGTCCGTATGCTAATGAGGTGGGCGGTCCTAACCTCAGTCTGAAGCAGGATTGGTTACAGGAGTGTGTGATCATTTCTGGCAGAGGGCTCTACTACTAACGCCTGGATAACCGCGCTGATTCGAATGCAGGAGCTTTACTGTTTAGCCCTTATCTTTATACATCCATGGTTTATCCACAGTTGTAAGGTTTATTTATGGATATTGATTTAAGAGCCATTGGAGATCATTTACGATCATTAGCGGACCATTTAGAGAACGGAGAACCAAAAGATTATGTCCAGTTTCGTGTGGAACGATGTATAGAGGACTTGGCTCAGCTCGACATGATGTGACTTGCCACAAATCTATTGCTTCTGCCTGGCTCCAACAATTGGCGAATCCTGCTTCAGACTGAGGTTAGGACCGCCCACCTCATTAGCATACGGACACATAAATACATAAATAAATAAATGTATGTCGCGTAAATGTAGAAATAAATGAAAGATATATAATAATAACGTGTGTTCTGTTTTATTTTCGACATTTATTTATTTATACATTGATGTATTTATTTCCATATTTATTTATGCATTTATTCTTTTATTTATTTATTTGTGTATTCATTTCAACATTTATTTATTTCTGTATTTATTTCGTCATTTATTTATTCCTGTATTTATTTATTTATTTACGTATTTATTTATTTATTCCTGTATTTATGTACGTAATTTATTTATTCCTGTATTTCTTCATACATTTATTTATTTATACTTAAGTCATGTTCCGTCCTCCATAGTTCCATGCTCTGCTCAACCTCCCGCCTTCCCAATGGACTCAGTAGCGCCCCCTGCTGCCGTGGAGCATGTGCCGATAGATAGATAGATAGATAGATAGATATGTGCCGGTGTTCCGGATTAACTTGTTTCCCGATCAACTTGTTTCCCAATCAACTCGTTTCCGTGGGGTGCGTGGCTTTCGACTGAAATACACATTTCGATCGCTTTCTTCTGTCGTTTACATACATCTTTTGGTATATTTGGCTTCTTAGGAACACGTTGATGCACATCCAGTACCAGTGTGTGAGGTTGTGATTACGATGGCGATATCCGGACACGAACAGCGAGGACTACAACAAGACAAACGAGTTGCTCGAATAAATCATTTAAACCAGCTATTGTTTCCAGACTTATTACGGAATATCGTTGTTAATGTCCAAGTCCATCTGTGTATACCTTCAGACAGCCTCCAAGTGAAGCACACAGTGTTTACTCACAGTTTGAAAGCAGCGTGGAGAAGATCTGCAAAAAACACCTTCAGGATGCTCATCCTTGCTGAACACAGTTGCTGCAGGGTCAGGTTCAGTTGGTGGGCGTAGCAGTGAACAAACTGAGCGTTTGGGTACGTCTCCTTCATCACCGTCTGTACCCCGCGCACGTTACCGCTCATGACGGCCGCCCCGTCATAGGTCTGAGCGATTAGCTTTTCTTTCAGCTTCAGGGGTTCCAGAACAGCCTTGATGCTGTTAGAGACCAACACCAGTTTTGTCCTTTACTTCCACAAACTCCAAAAAAACGCTCTGTAACTGTGAGGTCAGGCATAATGTATCGCAGCACAATCACCATTTGCGATTTACAGGAGACATCGGTTGTCTCGTCGGCCTGAACGGCAACAAATGATGTGTTGTCCACTTGCTTGGCTATTTCCTCCCTGTACACATCATACATGCAGTCCAAGAGTTCATTCTGTATGGTGCTTGATGTCCCTTTGAAAACAAGCTGAGCTTCGTAGTGCCGTTGAAGCCTGGAATCGCCCTCACACATTGTCTCGAAAATTGACCTGAATATCCCTGGATTCAGAGAGTCCGCCGACTCGTTGTGGCCCCGCAGTGCTGTCTCACATTTCCCACACAGTTTAATACAGGTGATAATCCGACCAAGCACGTACCTGTTTTCTTCCACCTTCCTATTATGAGAATCAATGCCGCGTCTGTAGGCGCTGTCAATCTGAGCTGCAACATTCACCCTTCCAAGTAATCCCAATTTTACGGCATTTTCCAAATGACTGTTGCTGCTCTCATGCTTCATTGTCCTCTCCGAAAGATGCTTTAAGTCCTTGTAACCTGTCCTCGACCAAGTACCTTGATCTTCACCAAAAAGCAGGCAAGGAAAGCAAAAGAGGGAATTCTTCTGGATGCTCGCCGTTAGCCATTTCTTTTTAGCAAACCACTCAGCGTTAAACCCACGTTTAACTTTGCCCGCAGTCTGGACCATTTGGAAATCCGGTGGATGGTGGGCACCGAGGCGCTTTACCTCCAGTTTCTCTCCGAGACTAAGTGTCTCAAATGTGTGCTCCAGTAAATGGTCAACTTCATTCATTTTCTTTCAGTTTTTTACTTCTTTTAATCGCTGGTGATGTTAGCTATATGCTGCTCTCTCGTCTCCTCTTCAAACTACACGTGACGTTTCGCAGCACTGCCCACGTGAGTACTTACAGCCAATCAATTCTGAATTATGTGAGATGACGTATGGTGGGGATGGGAGCACTATGCCCCTACGGTCATTATTTTTTTGCCACACACGTTAAATAGAAAAATACTCTGAGCATGCGCAGTGTAGTTTTTACAATCACCGTTCACTTAGACTGTGAGAGGGAGGGGCAGGATCGGGTTTTGTCCCACATGGCTCTAAACAGCTCAAAACGGCACTCTAGACACTAATTAGAAGAACACAGACTAAAACAGAAATGTACAGACGAATCAGATTATTAAACATGACCTTAAAATATATTTTATATGTTTTTTTATTTATTTTTTAGTATTTTTTTGTAATCATTATTTGTAATACTTTCTTCTGACACTAGGTGGGGCTGTGCCCCACCTGCCCTAATGACCCGCCGCCACTGGTTGTGTCACATTATGCCTCCCCGTCATGAAATGCCACATTATGCCTCCCCGTCATGAAATGACACGTTTACACCTCTAAATGACACGTTAACACCATAGGTTTACACCTTAAAACGATGTTTAAAACGAAAAGTAAACGTTCAGGGTTTTTATTAATGGTAATTTTCAGACTGTGAGTTGTTTAGTGGTAGCTCATAGTCTTGATTCTTCTGGTTTAACTTTTCGCTCCGTATTTGAGGTGTCGAAATTCGTTCGTCACTTCCTTTTCAGTTTTTTTTTTTAAATGTTTGTTTTTTATCATTATTGTTACGTCCTGTCTGTATAAACGTGCTTTAAAATGTATTTAATTTAATTTTACCTAGTTGTCATCTAATAATCAAAATATGTTTACAAATGTTACATAGTCTTTGTCAGCATATATGCTATGCGTACAAAATAAAAGTGTGACATTCATGAAACTTGCTCCATTTATTGGTACCAGTCCTAGAACCATACCCTGAAAAATGCTTGAGGGTGGGATTCATAGAAACCTCTTTTTTTTGGGGGGGGGGGGCATTTTATGACAGGCCTAGCCATCACAATATGCCCCCCCTTGCTATCTTACAAAATAAAAGTGTCACATTCATGAAACTTGCTCCATTTATTGGTACCAGTCCTAGAACCATACCCTGAAAAATTCTTGAGGGTGGGATTCATAGAAACCTCTTTTGGTGGGGGGGGCATTATATGACAGGCCTGGCCATCACAATATGCCCCCCCCCCCCCTTATCTTACAAAATAAAAGTGTGACATTCATGAAACTTGCTCCATTTATTGGTACCAGTCCTAGAACCATACCCTGAAAAATGCTTGACGGTGGGATTCATAGAAACCTCTTTTGGTGGGGGGGCATTTTATGACAGGCCTGGCCATCACAATATGCCCCCCCCCCTTGCCATCTTACAACATAAAAGTGTCACATTCATGAAACTTGCTCCATTTATTGGTACCAGTCCTAGAACCATACCCTGAAAAATGCTTGAGGGTGGGATTCATAGAAACCTCTTTTGGGGTGGGGTGCATTTTATGACAGGCCAAACAATAGTTGCATTGGTTGAAATGACAGTGGACAGTTAATGATGGTTCCTTCGGGGCATTATGTGCATCCAGGGCACAAGTACGGTTGATCAACTGGAGGCCTTTGTACACATTGGTGGTGGTACCACTGCTGACAAATGTCACAGCAAATCTGAGAAAACAATAAATACTTGTTATGTAAGGTATGCATTATGGGATTTTGTTATGATAATAGAATATCTCTAATGTATTTCCCACTAACATTCTAACCATTCCTTCAATAATCGAAATCTTTCAAAAACATAAATGTTGTGTTATGAGAAAGAAATACATTTTCAACAAAAATGTATGGAAAAACAAGCAAAACATTAATCCTTTATCAGTTAATGCTAAAGATGCCAAATATAGTAGCAATTACCAACGCAAATGTTATGTTGATAAAGTCTGGAAACATATTTCTGCTAATTTTCTTTATTTGTAATGTGCAATAGGAAATTACCCAATGTTCTTCATCCTGCTCCTCCATCCCGCAGTAAAAGCAAAGCCTGCTTAGATCATCTGTTGAGACAAAACGTAATCAATATCTTCAGATAAACCACATTGCAGATTTGGGGTCAAGGTGACCCATTCCAATTTTTGACTAAAAGGTCAATTATATAAGGACACATTTGTTGTGGTCTTTTATTATTTTGTGTGAAGAAAAGGCAAAACACACACAAACACATAGATTTTCTAAATGATTCAATCTGAGCACAGAAGAGCCATCTGCTCCTTCTTTCACTCTCTCCTTACCCTCTGTAGAATGGGAACCTGCACAATGTCATTACAAAACATCCAAAAACTTATTTCGCACTGTACGCATCAATTTAAGTTTGGTTCTCATGGTTATTTTGTTGTTCATCACATGTATTAGCTTTACAGCTTTGATTATAATAAGTTCAAGGTAAAAATTAACTGAGGATATCAGTTAAAAGTAATACACACCAATGAGCACATTGAAAGGAGGAAGATGGGGAAATCTCACATCTTAAATAAACCGCAGAATTGAAAGGGTGTGTTAGAGTGTGATGTGTGTAGCCTATATGAAATTGCAGTTGAAGATGCCTGCCTGCGATGCTTCATATGTTATCTGTTTGGAGTTGAGATACACAATATACTGTATGTAGTGACTATTTACCCTAATCTATACTTAAGCCACTGTGTTGCTTTTAAAACCCTGATAATTTCCCTGGTCAATATTAACCCAACAGTACCAATGGTCCAAGCAGTGATACAATACAACAATTTGCATGGCACATTATTCATATACTAGGTTATTGATGCATACTTATGAGATACAATTAATAAAAGTAACTACATGAAGTCATTGACAATGTTGAGAAAAGGTAACAAACCAGATTCTCTGAGGAGAGAAGTAGCAATGTCCAGCCTCAGCTCGTGCACTGCCTTCTGTGAGGTTTCAAACTGAAGAGAACCTTGATTAGTATATGGACTGCATGGTCTATGATTTTACCCTCAAATGGAATACAGACAAATGACCCAACAGATTTAAAGAATGACATGTTGTATGTGTAGTTTGACACAATTCAATACATCTTTGATCAAGATGTATAAAAGCAAGTCAAGATATTCAGTCTAATTGCTACTGAATTTGAGTTTGAGAGTAATGTTTGGCTAAATGCATTTCACACTCACTTTTAAGGCCAGGACACCACAGGATGTGCTGTCTTGTTGGCGATTATGGGGGAGGGTGCTGCATGTCCATCTTGACACCTTGCAGCCTTTCATCCTCATAAAGGCTCTACAGTGTAGATAGTACATGTGTCAAGATGCAGCACATCATTGTCAAAATACTCATAAAACACCGGAACTAGTACACTGTATCAAATGTACCTTGTAGACTGCAGGCACACCTTCGTTTTGCCTTTCCCTTCTCCAAGTGGATCCAAGAAGAGGGTTTTCTTCTCATGGGGGTACATTACCTTTTATTATTCACATGGAAACACAACATGCATTAGGCAGGAACCATACATTACGCAGGTACGATGTAGGGTATTGTTTAGATTTGATCAATAATAAGTGACAGCATGTATGTGTGGCCCGGTTATCTTGCAAATCACTAATTATATATGGTGTATACAGCACTATAGATACAGATTGGAGCTTAAAATATGCTCCTATTCTCACCACCAACATCCAGTGATGGTTCTCGTTCACAATTCCCACGATGACTGTGCCATTGGATCAACCTGAGAGTAGTTGCAAAAGTATTACATTCCTGTTGAAAAATGCACATTTGCAACATTTACAAAAGCAAAGTCATTCCAATCATGTACATACCCGGATTCTTCCAAATTTGTGTTTCCAGATGGCGGTCATAGCGTAGCTGTCAATAACAGCTGCTTGACCGTCATTGCGCTGGTTGATTTTTCTGGGTATGGTTCTAGGACTGGTACCAATAAATGGAGCAAGTTTCATGAATGTCACACTTTTATTTTGTAAGATAGCAAGGGGGGGCATATTGTGATGGCTAGGCCTGTCATAAAATGCCCCCCCCCCCCAAAAAAAAGAGGTTTCTATGAATCCCACCCTCAAGCATTTTTCAGGGTATGGTTCTAGGACTGGTACCAATAAATGGAGCAAGTTTCATGAATGTCACACTTTTATTTTGTAAGATAAGGGGGGGGGGGCATATTGTGATGGCCAGGCCTGTCATATAATGCCCCCCCCCACCAAAAGAGGTTTCTATGAATCCCACCCTCAAGAATTTTTCAGGGTATGGTTCTAGGACTGGTACCAATAAATGGAGCAAGTTTCATGAATGTGACACTTTTATTTTGTAAGATAGCAAGGGGGGGCATATTGTGATGGTCAGGCCGGTCATATAATGCCCCCCCCCCCCCACCAAAAGATGTTTCTATGAATCCCACCCTCAAGAATTTTTCAGGGTATGGTTCTAGGGCTGGTACCAATAAATGGAGCAAGTTTCATGAATGTGACACTTTTATTTTGTAAGATAGCAAGGGGGGGCATGTTGTGATGGCTAGGCCTGTCATACAATTCCCCCCCCCCAAAAAAAAAAGAGGTTTCTATGAATCCCACCCTCAAGCATTTTTCAGGGTATGGTTCTAGGACTGGTACCAATAAATGGAGCAAGTTTCATGAATGTGACACTTTTATTTTGTAAGATAGCAAGGGGGGGCATATTGTGATGGTCAGGCCTGTCATATAATGCCCCCCCCCACCAAAAGAGGTTTCTATGAATCCCACCCTCAAGAATTTTTCAGGGTATGGTTCTAGGACTGGTACCAATAAATGGAGCAAGTTTCATGAATGTCACACTTTTATTTGGTACGCATAGCATATATGCTGACAAAGACTATGTAACATTTGTAAACATATTTTGATTATTAGATGACAACTAGGTAAAATTAAACAATACATTTTAAAGCACGTTTATACAGACAGGACGTAACAATAATGATAAAAAAAAAACATTTAAAAAAACAAAAAGGAAGTGACGAACGAATTTCGACACCTCAAATACGGAGCGAAAAGTTAAACCAGAAGAATCAAGACTATGAGCTACCACTAAACAACTCACAGTATGAAAATTACCATTAATAAAAACCCTGAACGTTTACTTTTCGTTTTAAACATCGTTTTAAGGTGTAAACCTATGGTGTTAACGTGTCATTTAGAGGTGTAAACGTGTCATTTAAGAAATGCGCGTTCCCGTGACAAGGGGGGCATTTCATGACGGGGAGGCATAATGTGACACAACACCGGCCCCTGGGGAATATTACTGCCAAAAGTCACGTGAGTGAGTCACGTGACTTTAGGCAGTAATATTCCGCCGTGAGAAGAAAAAGTTTTGTAGTTGTAAACAAAAGTTGTGTACTTGTAAAACCTATGCTGAAGTTGTCTCTGAGACCAGATTTATTAGATAAATGTTATGTGTTTGATAGATACGTTTTTTTTCTTTGCAAAACTAAATGCATTAGTTTGTAGATGGTGTTTTGTATTTGCAAACCACATTGTGTTTGTTAGTGAATCATGAGGCATTTGTAAAAACCTGTTTAGTTTGTGGAGTTATGGCAGGAAATTAGCTCCATAGCTATTGTTGCCAGACTTATTACTGAATATCGTTCTTAATGTGATACCAAGTCCATCTGAGACCTGTGCACACCTTCAGATCCTCCAAGTGAAGCGTACGTTGTTTACTCACAGTTTGAAAGCAGCGTGGAGAAGTCTTCAGCTGTGGTAAACTGCAACCTAACCTGCTCCGGAGCTAGCCGTTCAGCATAAGTTACCACGGAGATCTAGCCCGCTAAAAAGAGAACCAGCGTCGTAGGACCGGAAACCCCGAGTTTTCCCTGAAGTTAGCTCGCTAAGCGAAAATCCGGCTTCGTAGAGTTGAGTGGTTCTCCACTCTGACCAGTAGAGAACCACTGATTTAAATTATAACACTACTTATCCAAATAACATACATTTCTTACAACATGGCAGGTAAAACACATATGAAAAACGTGTTTACCATAAACTATCATCTTATATTGTTGTAAAGTGTGGGCTTACATGTCCATATCTGTCACTAAACTGTAGTTTGTATGTAACACAGAGCATCCAATACTTGTCAAAACAAATGAGCCGTGTAGGGTATACAAATACAGTGTATACAAATACAATGTTTACTTATGAAAAGACAAACCTACTTACTTAAATGTAGTGACCTGCTCTCAGTAAAGGAAGAAAGACGAAGGAGGATGAGTCTCCTCAACTTCGAATCTCAGCTTTTATCTTCTTCTTCTCTTTGTCCTTCCTCTACGTTTTCTGCAGTGTTCGCTAAAGCTTATATTCCGTCTACTCACTCAGACCTTTAAACAAAACCCGTGATAAACACACTCTGTTGGCGTGTAAAGAAATCAAGTGAGACACTCCAATGGAACATAAACGAGAGCCACGTGACCTGGTGGTTGAATCAGCTGACAGCGGAATTGGAGGGGCCGCGTTCGCGTTCTCTTTATACACCCATGCCCATGGGCCGCGTCCCATTTTATATTTGTATTTCACCTGGTGTCTACTAAATATACATTTACGTCTGTTATGTGGTCTTAATAAAAGACATTTTGGTACCACTTTTTGTAAAGACACTATTAATAAAGGGATTATAAAAAAATATGATTTTATTAATGATTACTAAAGCTTTATTGTTCTATTAAAACCAATAAGGAAGACATTATAAACTTTTTTTAACAGTAATTTACCCCATTGTATTTTTGGGATTTGCATTCAAATGCCTATTTAGGGGAACAAATATACTCTTAGTCTGAATTTGATAACTCTTACAAGATTAACTGAAACTGTGTTATATAATTGTCATTTTAAAAAAAAAACTGTCTGCGATGCAAAAATGAGTTGCTGACAGGGCAGTATGTATTTTTACCATGATTTGTACATGTTTATGTGATCAGTATGCATCCTACCAACTAGGATTGTTCAGCGTTACAGGGCTTTTTTGCCGTTTTTTGGGTCAAGGGCCCTCCGTTTAAACAAGCATTTGTAGAGTGCTAACTTTGCACGTAATCACCAATGAGAGTCATATTTTATATGCTTTGATAAAAAGAGAGTATAAAATCCAAAATGTGCTTGAGCTCACGTCAGGTAAACTTGTAATCTTAGTTGTCGATTGTTGTCCTTGCACAAAGGTGTGCAGACTGATACCTTCCAGACAGAGGGTGAATACATGTATTTTCAGGCAGACGGTATCTGAAAAAAAAAGGTCAACATGAGCCGTGTACAAATACAGTGTTTACTTGTGAAAAGACAAACCTACTTACTTAAATGTAGTGATGTAGTGCCTGTTGACCGGCTCTAGTAGAAACCAAAAATTCAAGTATGTACCTGACTACCTGTATGCTGTATAAACACAATATCGCCTTTAAGTGAGAGAGTATTATCAGCCGAATGTATCAAAAGTATCACAAGTAAAAGTTTGTTCTGCAGTAAAATGTCATATTGTTTTATGGCACATGCTTATAAATGCTGGTTCATCAATGTGTTACTGGCATTTTACTGTAGTAAATTATTTCTATATTTGCTTTCCCATTTGATTAGAGAGGAATTCCAACATAGCAGACTCCAGCAGGAGGTGCACTGAGACTGGAAAAAACGAGTATTTTTAACCATTACAAATGGTTTAACACTTTTTATAACATCCCCTGACTTCCCTCTTTATCTCTTGACTACATTTTTTTTTTTTTTAAACAGAAATCATGCATTGCAACATGTTTCCTGGTTTGTATTATGCTTGTGAATAAATGAGATTTTAACTGGTTAAGCCTCAATTAAACCTGCAAAAATAAAACAATTGTTTAGAACACAAATGCATATTGTGTTGAAAAAATAACAGTTTATTACTGCATTTATTTAGAATATGTTTACAGACTGTACTAACAGGAACAGCTGACCGTTTAAAAACATTTTGATATGAAGTATAACTTTACTGAATGTCAACCATTCACTTATCTTTATTATGGTTGTGTCTGCCCTCTGTGGGTGAAAAGTGGCATCAGACAGGAAAAGGTGGAGCCTGTTTTCTGTGCCTGAGCTTCATGCAGAGGCAGCCTCAAGAAGCCATGGCAGAAACAAGCCTTGGTAAGACTATTTAAGAGACACACTTAAAACAATATAGCTAAACTTGAGATAAATAACAGTATATCAGATATTCAATCAGCTGCTCTCATTTGCTGAACAGATGACTCAGAGTTCATTTCTGCAGCCATGTGACAGTGTTGCTGTTGTTGTAGCCTACTATAATGAAGCAGAGTACAGATAACTATTTATAGCAGATAATTAACTGCACTGACACAAGGGTGGAGGTAATGAAATTGTCCGTTTGAAATGTTTGTTGTTCTTTCGTAGTTCAGAAAGTGTTCCTGGTTTTAAGTTTCAGCGTGGAGCCATTTCAGTGGTTTCACTTTCGTCTTAAAGTGACAGGATCCTCTACTACTTAGTACTGACTACTAGTGACTAGTATATCTACCGCAATATAAAATAACTTTCAAGTAAAACTCCTGCGTTTAATAGTTAGTTAATAAAAGTAATCTATTATGTTAATATAGAGTAAAAATACTCCTAATTTAGAATGGCAAATGTGTACTGTATTGCTATTGGATTATTGCAGATGCTTTAAAAACATAGGACATTCGGCAAGACAACATGTTTTACAATTTGATCATCATTTTTTATTGATAAATAAAAGTAACTATACGAGCTGTCGGAAAAGGGTTTGGAAAAAGTGCAATATTTACATTCAAAATTAATTAATGTTATTTGATGATATGATAATTGTTAAAACTAAAGATTGATTAATAGATTTTTTTTTAAGAAGAAAATCTAAAAATACTGTAAATTGTGCTCAAAAAACTCTGAAACCTACATTTTCCATAATGCAGTTCCACTAAACTGAACTTCATGTGTACAATTGTTGTTGGCATTGAAGTAAATGCACTTAGTTCATTTCAACCTTGTAAACAAATTGTTATATATTATATCTTTGTTTCTTTTCCTATAGGTGCTTTTGGTGCAGTGCAGACGATCCTACAAAGTGCAGCAGCAGGATTTTCTTTTGGAGAAGCTGCATTATTCGCAGTAGAGCCCTCACTGACTGAAGATGGCGTCCTGCTGTCTGCTGCAACTCTGGCTGCTGGACGAGCCGGATCCACTGGGGTCGGCGTGGTGACAGCGTGCCTCGTGTTCACCTCACTGCTCATTTCTCTGGGAAGTGGTTTCCTCCTTGCTGCCATGGTGATGGAGCTGTTGAATAAAGTTGGAGTGAGGTTGCCTTGGTTAGAGGAGGCCACGACGGGAGCCTCTGTTGTGCTTGGTGCTGTCACTACTGGAGTGTTAGCAGGCATCCTTCCTCCATGGATCTGCATCGCCGCCCAAGGCATTCTGGTCCTTGTAGTCTACTCATACTCCAATATCAACGACATGAGCACAGCTCTGTTGATCATCTTCACCACACTCTACCTCAGTGTCCTGTATGGAAGAATGGGAGTCATGGTTGGACTCTTCGTCATGGGATTGACCATCTCCGTGCTTTGTGCCCTTCGAAAGGCTCTGACGGAGAGAATGACCCAAAAACCAAAATCTAAAAGCGGGTGCAAACTCCTGGAGAGGATATTCTTCTACTCTGTTTTTGTGGGTATACTGGGATTTTCGGTTGGTTTAGGGGCAGGTGGAGCAGGAGAAGGGTCTGAAGCGGAGGTGGTTTTGATGCTGCAGTCGGTCCTCTGGGTTGCGTATCTGTCTGCAGGCCTGCTCGGAGCTGGTCTGGGAACAGTGGCCACGGTTGGGCTGGGGCCAGAGGTGGCTGGAAAGGTCGCTTTGGGAGCTGCCATAATATCATCTGTTTCTCTTAGAGCCATACTGCATTCAAGTTCTTCTCTAGGGTCCCGGAGCAGCATGGGGGGAACATTAGGAGCAGCTACAGCTGCAGGGGTGTCGCTCGGAGCTGCAAGCGTTGCAGCAAAACAGGCGTTTGGGTCTAAAAACACAACGTTAGCAGCTCTAGGGTCAGTTGTTGTTGGTGCACTTCTATCAACGCTCGGCCTAGCAGTGAATTCAACACCCCTAACAATATCAGAACTTTTACAAATCACCCTAGTTGCAGTAGGGGCGTTTGTCCTGGGTGCACCAAAGAGCCCATTCAACACTCAGGTGAATCTACAAAGGGGCCTTCTCACGGGGCCAGAGCTAATTAAAGGAATCGGCATGGAGACGGTCACCGCAGCAGCAGCACCTATCGGAGCCGGGGCACTGGGGGCTGCAGCGCTGGCTACCGCAGCTCTGGGGAGGCTGGGGACTCTGGGAGTTTCTGTGGCTATACTGTTGGCTTTGGGAAGTGCCCTCAGTGGCATGATAGGAAAATCATCGCAGACAACCAACACACACACAGACTGATAGAAGCGCTCAGATCTGTGGCCAAACACTAAGAGTGCTTGTGTGTGCATAATATGCTTGTTCTTGCATTATTGCATATTCAAACTGACGTAAAATCTGAATACCAAATTAAATGTGAATCAAATACTCTTTTAAATGAAAAGCAAATTCGCATACCTGACAATTGTGTCATAAAGATGTATAATTGAGTGTTAAATAAAAATAAGAATACATTTTATCCAAGCATGTGTTTGTGTATTTATTTGAATACGGAAATCTTGGAAGATTGTGTCTGCACTTGAGCGTTAATGCATACATAACTTTTAATTTCAATTTAATTTTTGTATTTTTTTTTTAACATAATACCGTAAAAAGTAAATGTGTTGGTGTATTTGTTGGTACTGGTACTTAGAAAATTCATTTTTTCAAAGAGTGGATGTATAATCCTTCTTCCTTACTTCTTCACACCAGCTTTGCCACACTTCCCAAGACATGATTGCAATCTGGTAGTCACTTTGGCTTCATCTTAGCAACAGTAACAGAGGACTTGGTGTTTAGAAAAAGGAGGGGGAGGGTGGGAGGAGAGAGAAACGAAGAATAACATCAGAAAACTGAAGAGCATCTTGAAGTACAGTCTGTTGTGCAGATCGTACCGGAGTAAGGAGAAATATGGATCCGTACATCAGAATAAGATGCCCTTTTGCCTATATATACTTATAATGCCCTCTCTGAAAAGATTATATGTTGCTGGCAAATGGATATCCACCTGTGGCTCAGGGTTTTGTTGGTCTACCATGGCAGCACACAGGACTCCAACAGCAAGGAAGAAGAAGTGTTTCCACTGAAGCAGCCATGGGGAGGAGCAGCATCTTCATAACTGTAATGTAAAGTACTTTAAAGGAAGTTATTGACACCATATCATTAAGAAGGTGAGCACGTTTTGATGCCTAAAACTCCCTGGGATGTTATGATTGTTAGCACTAAAATGCTTTTCATTACCATGGATTAATTTTTGCATAAAAAAAGTTTCACGATGTCATTACTTGTGATACTTTTCCATGGATTTTGGCATTGATAAACAGTATTACTTGAGGAACCATCAGGATAGTCTTTACTAAACCAACATGTCTTTGAACCGGATCCCCACGACAGACACAGAGCAGTCTGCAGAGTACTCGGTGCAGGGTCCCAGTGACACGGGTCACGGTAGGTCTCAGACCCGTGAAGTGACCGTGCTCCAGTCGAGATGCTGCCGCTGCCTGCCGCGCGCGGCGCGCCTTGCGTTTGCTCCAGAGTCATTGGAGAGAATTTACCAGAACTACTTCCGCAGACAGAGACAAGAAAACCTGCTCGTGCTGGCGTTGTTTGCCGCTCTTTTCAACAGCTTCATCATCATCATGTGCGCGGTGGTGTACACTCAGGACAAACTTGCCATGGTGGTGGTCGCCGCGGTGGGGCTGTCTGCGGACGCGGGGCTGTACGTGCTGTGCCGGCTGCAGAAGCTTCCCGCGTCACCGGTGGCGCGCGGAGCAGTGCCGTACATTCTGTGGCTGATGATAAACGTGCACGTTTTGTGTTACATGTGTCTGAACTATGAGCGTTTCCCCCAAGGAAGTGACTCTGTGGGCTGGCAGGCCTTTTTCACTTTCTCCAGCTTTCTGACCCTTCCGCTGGGCCTGGGGCCGCTGCTCCGTCTCACGGCCCTCTCCTCTGGGATACACACCCTGGTGCTGGGGGTGACTGTGGCTCAGAAGTCCGAGGATGACCTGCAGGGGCCCATGCTGGTTAGACAGGTAAATATGGTCCCCTGTAAAGTGATAAATGACAAAGCACCTGAAACCTAAAAAATGAAAAGAAGCCCAAAATGGTCATACAGGACAGTAGAAGGCACTGAAGATTCGATTCTTTCAGGGACAGGGTATTGCATGATCCTTAATTCATGGCCAAATTTGGCCCATTAACAATTTGTATTCACATTATAAAAAATAATTGTAAACACAGTGGTAATTTCTTTAAGTATTTTTAAGTAAATAATGTCATTTTGCAAAAGTTCCACCTTAAGCAAGTGAAGTATTCTTGATGCACCTGGAGATTTACTTGCACTATAGCCAGAATAGTCTCAATGGTATATATTTGAAAGTTATATATTTCTGTAGAGAATTTACACTGACTATATTTACATTTATTTCAATTTTCAGCTATATTTTATTATCGGATAAAAATAGGCCTACATTGCAGAAAATTGTCTTTCTTCGATGAAACAGTTCAATACTACATCTGTTAGAAGCAAAAAATACATGTTCTGAATCCAGCTGATTATTCTTAAAACTAAGTGATTCCCATATTCAATTAAATATGAGAACTACAAACAACAATACACATTGACAGAATGAGGAAACTTACTATCAGTAAACAAACAAACATCCTGTCTTCAGCTCCTAGCCAACATGATGCTGTACCTGTGCTCAGCCTTGGTGGGTGTGTTGTCGTACTACATGGCGGACAGGAAGTACAGGACAGCATTTTTGGAGGCCCGTCAGTCACTACAGGTCAAAGTCACACTGGAGGAGGAGAGCACCCAGCAGGTAAACGTGGCACACAAAAATACACAATTACAGGTAGACTTTGCCTAATGAGATAATCCATTTCCTAATTTGGACACACACATACACATTATACACAAACACACCGGTGAGGAAGGACACGCTGTTCTGCCTAATTATAATGTGTTGTGCTGAGCTCGAGGATAAATGGGTGATTAGACAGACTTGTTTTCACCAGCGCAGCACCGCGAGGGACCGAGCACAATATGGACGGATTAAGCTCTGTGCCAACAAAACCTAAATTGTTGAAGGATACACTTAGATTTAGGAATTTGTTTTGTATTTTAATAGCTCTTCCTTTCCCCTTATGTGAACTTATCTATGTCTATCAGTTTGTCTTTCTCTATGGTTCCTTTTGCAGCTGCCAGCTTTCTCCATAATTTTGGTCCAATTGTTTATAAATTATCTAGTATTTAGGCTTTAATTTGTCTTTCAGAAATGAGGGGTTGGAATGTAAAGGGAAGACACACGTATACAAGATTAAATACATGGTAAAAGAAGCAATTCTACTGTGTATAAATAATATGTTCAGTAAAATTCATGCATTCAAAATGTAACGTAAGTAAAAGTGCAAAGGTTAAGCATCAAAATGAACTTAAAGTATACAGGAAGTGTACCTATGTTGCACAAGGGCTCATTTGCAGTTATATTTATTATAATGATTGAAGCATTAAAGCGTGCATCCCTTTATTGTTGAAGGTATTTAACTTGGAACTTGTTTTCTTTACTTTATATACTGCCAGATAGCTTATGAATTCCACCAAGGGATTAATAAAGTTTATCTTAACCTATAATAACACATGAAAGTGATTTATGATTATATTTTGAATTATTAATCTGAATCTGAATCCTCAAAGTTGTCCTAAGAAATATAGAGTATACATACTTTTTACTTTTTCTCTGCAATCATGTTCTCAATAAACTCACAATGATACAGTATTCCTAATACATTAGTTTGATTTATTACAGCCAAATATACTATACCATGTTTTAACTCCAACCTTAATCTAATTCATTAAATTACTCTATTTAATCACATCTCACATTTCTTGCTGTGATGTGACCATTTCTGGGAATAAGAGAGCAAGGTAAGGGTACGAGAGTTGTTCTAAAAGTAGGGTTGAAAAGATGAGGAATAATGGTATCGTAACAGTATGTGGAAGACCAAAAGAGAATGAATACAATTCCCCAAGTGTCTTTTCATTGGGGGGCTTAATAGAAGACAGACAGACCCAACCAAGAGGAACACATTGGCAGGATCTCGTGAGAATCCCTTCTCTACCTCAGTCATGCTATGCACACAAATGCAAAAACATACACATGGGACAATCTTTGTGTCAGTACTGAACCTGACAAGGCTCACTGTTCATCCTGTGTTGTCTCCATATAGGAGGAACTATTACTGTCCATCCTGCCCAAACACATTGCAGACGAGATGCTGCAGGGCATGAAGAACCAGGCCAGTGAGCTCGGGGGCCAGCAGCAGCAGCAGTTCAACACCATGTACATGTACCGCCATGAAAACGTCAGGTTGGGACCACACATTTTTGTTGCAGTGTATTGATGGTATTTGTTACGGGAAGGTTTCTGAATGTTACACCTCTTCCCTCGTGTTCCAGTATCCTGTTTGCTGACATAGTTGGCTTCACCCAGCTGTCCTCCACCTGCAGCGCCCAGGAGCTCGTGAAGCTGCTCAATGAACTGTTTGCCCTCTTCGACCAACTGGCAGAAGTGAGTCAGGTTTACTGTATCCTCTCCTTTTTTCTTCCCTAGATTTGACAATATATTGTTTGGTATATTCTTAATAGAAGTACTGGTTATGTTTTATATAGCTGATATATCCTTTTCCATGGTTTTAAAGATATAATTCTATTTTTTCTTGATTTTATCTGTTATTATGACACAAGGAGGGAATAGACATGTGCACACACATAATAACAATACCACTAATTACAACAAAATAAAACCTAGAAGAAAGGCAAGGCAAGTTTATTTATATAGCATCTTTCAACACAAGGCAATTCAAAGTGCTTTACAAAAATCAAAGACATTAAGAAACATATTATAAAATGGCATTTAAAAACACTCATTTAAAAGCAAAGTAAATAAAACATGAATAACAAAGGTACATGAATAAAAGTTACAGTGCAGTGTGAGAAACACACATCTGAAATGTTCAGGTCTTACTCTCAATCATTGCTAACTTTTTAGAAGAAATAGTTTTCTTTGACCTCACTTTCCTTCTACTTTCTTTTTTAACTTATCCTTTACTTATCTCAAGTGTTGCATGCTAAATGAACCCCCCTTTGGAAAATTCGAATCTGCAACCCAATATTCTGAAAATTCAACGGATCCTGGCCATATTTGTGTAGCATATACACTTAATACAATTAATTTGCTCCCAGACATTCATGTGGCTTGCTAGTTTTGGACCCGATCTGTAGTCAAAAAGTCACCACTTAAGGTCCTTTCAGTATTTCTACTAATCACTTAAGCATACAATAGTGACTTTTGACTTTCTGTTTGATAGGAGTGTCGAAAGAAGCAGAACATAACATATGTATATTCTTTGATTTGTAGATATTGACAATATTTTTCTATTTGCTACACTTACACGTATTTTAAGTATGCACCATTCTTTCTCCTCGTGCTGTCTTGCAGGACCATCACCAACTGAGGATTAAGATCCTTGGAGACTGTTACTATTGTATCTGTGGTCTTCCTGATTTCAGAGAGGACCACGCTGCCTGCTCCATAAATATGGGCCTCGCCATGGTGGACGCAATATCGTAAGTAATGATTTCATTGGCAACAAATGGAAAAGGAAAGGGTAGTATTAATGTAGGGTTTGTATTATGGTGGTTTTATTTGTACATATTGTGTTTATATGTTTTTTTGTTTTGTTTCTTTCAGTTAACTGTCAAGTGGGAACTAAGTATTTTTTTGTAAGTTTTTGTGTTTCTCTTATTTTCCTACGATACTGTTATGATTGGCTGTGAATAAGAAAATATGAAGGACAGACCATCTATTTCTATTTATTATTTTCTTTTGAGAAAGGGGCGGGTAATATAAGATAATGTTCTTCTCCCTGCTCCTTTTCGGGTATGCTGTGTTTATAGAAACATGTTTTGTAAATAATTGTTATACATTAAGTTGTGCATACCATGAATGGAACAAATAAAAATGAAATGAAATATATGACAAAAGGCAATCTCAATAATTAAAGATATAAATGAGTAAAGGGATATTTTGCCACTCAACACTTAAAATAGTCCCCAAAGTAGGAGAGAAAAGAGAAAAAGAAACAATGCCAATTAATCTTAGACTTCTATCAATATGGAATAAAACATGAAAAATAGACATGAAAGACAATACAGACGAAGAAGAGTGGGCTATTTGTGACATAATGACTTCAAAGATAACTACAGAGATCTCCCACGTTCCCCTCCTTTCTTAGGTACGTACGAGAGAAGACTAAAACTGAAGTGGACATGCGTGTGGGCGTCCACACAGGCACCGTGCTGGGGGGGGTGCTGGGGCAGAAGAAGTGGCAGTTTGACGTTTGGTCCACAGACGTAACTGTAGCCAATAAGATGGAATCTGGGGGGATTCCTGGGTAAGAGAACAATGCTTTATTTCACTGTCAGCGGGAGTGATTCAATTCTACTTTGTGGTTTATTTCAAGAGTTTTGTGTGCTCCACAGGAGAGTGCACATTTCCCAGACAACCAAGGACTGTCTGCTCGGAGGTTTTGACCTGGAGCCGGGGGAGGGCGGGAAGAGGTGCGAGTACCTGATGGAGAAAGGCATCGACACTTACCTGGTGCTGGTGCCTAAACAGGCGGCCAATGGGCTCAATGCAAATGTGAGTCAGCGCACTGTCTTTCAGGGCATTGTCATTGTTTGTTTGATCATGACCTATGTTTAGCTTGAATCAAAAACAAAGTATAAGTATTTCTTTTCTTTTTTTTGAGAAATACCATTTTCTATGCACACATAATAGCATTAACAGATATTTTTCTGCTTCTCCCCCTCAGAAACCTGGGATGTTGTCCAACACAAATTCAAACCAGTTGATCAACACTACAGTAACCAATGGGAATGCTACCTCACCCCAATTAACGGCCACTGACTCTATACAGGAGGTGAACTATGATAAATGTGTTTATTCATTATATATAAACCAACGTCCTCATTTGAGTACAGATGGCCAAAGAGTCTACTTCAGAATCAGAATCGGTTTTATTTAGTAGGTTAACACATACGACAAATTTGCTTTGGTATATGTGGTGCATACAAAGACACAGAAAGAAGAATATGTAACAAAAAAAAATAGCTATTTTAAAAAACAATTTTAAGACTATTATAACAAATTAACAATATTTACATATGACAAATACTATATACTATATTTAAAGTGGAGAGCTGTGCTGATTTGAAAGAGGTATTTTAACTTGCTAATAACTACTTGATTGTAAGCGCTTTGAGCACCAGGAAAAGCGCTATATAAATGTAATGTATTATTATTATTATTATTATAACCCATACATACAAATACACACGTTATCCTAAATAGCATTAAATGCACAATAAAAAATTGGTAATCTAACCCATGTCTCATTTTCTTGCTCCGAAACTCAGAAGAACAAGATGGCAGAAGAACAACAGATCAACAAACGACTACAGCACGAGCTGCTGGAGAGAGAAACCCAGCAAATGTAAGAGAACATTTGACAAATAAAATAAGATGACAAAATAAAGACTGTTAATGTAGCTGAGACCAAAAAAAAATGTCATAGAAATGTATTATGTTTTCAAGTAATGTGTACAATTGACAAACACAACTCACAGGTCTTTTGTTTGTCCCAACTCCAGCCATTTCTAACGTTTTTTTTCTTATATTCTGCTTACAGAATGAAGGATCACAAGATCAACCCTGTGTTGTTGCGTTTCGTGGATGGAAAGTTGGAGGAGCAGTACTCCTCAGAGAAGGAGAAGCGGAGCGGGGCGGCCTTCTGCTGCTGCATCATCGTGCTCTTCTTCATCACAGCAATGGAGGTGTTCATAGACCCACTGTGAGCTCAATGTATCTTATTACCTGCAATTAGTACACACTTAAATGCCTGGAGAGTTTGAAATGCTACTTGGGCATCTGTGAATTCAAACAGGAACCAATTGTGCCTTAAAAATGGTGATGTTCTACCTAAAAATGTACTAAATCTGTGTGTTCTTGTTCTAGGTTGGCTGTGAACTATGTGACTCTCACGATAGGAGAGGTATTGTTGCTCATCCTCACAGTTTGCTCCCTGGCTGCCATCTTCCCCAGGGTGAGAAAACAAAACTAGTATCCATGGTTGCGGTGATGGGAAACACAATTTGTTTTACGTCTTTGATCAGCACTTTCCAACCTTTTAGCATTTCCAAATGTACACGATCACAAAGGCAATTGACTTTAAAATGTACTTTGTGACACAAGACTGATTCACTGATCTTGTAAAGTATATTGAAACATCACATGAAGTAAAACATATATTTTTGTCACAGATGTTCTCCAAGAGGTTGGTGTCTTTCTCGGTGTGGATCGATCACACACGCTGGGCCAGAAACACCTGGGCCATGGCGGCCATTTTTGTTCTTACCATGGCTGTGATTGCTGACATGGTATGAATGAAAGACACTTTTACTCAACTCTGACACATTGTGTTAATATATGTGTGGCTAAGGTTTTTCTCACAGTATATGTAGTTTTATGAAAAAATCACTGAATACATTGTACTAATGTGATAAACATTGCTAATCCAGTTAATGGAATACCTGAAAATATTAAGCTACTTTATCATATAAATCAAAACATATTTAATGCCACTGTCATGGTACATATCATCATATCTCCCTACCCTAGCGTGTGGGCGTCTTTTAGTTAGTTTGTTTCCTCTTTGTCCTCATGAAACCATCAGTGCCTTTTATGTGTCTGACTACATGTTCCCAGTGGGGTCCATTAGCTGTCTGTCTCACTGCCTGCTGGCTCATTTGTCACTGCCCCCAGGGAGCAGCCTGTTACACACAACGCTGCCTTCAAGGTCTGACAGGAATAGGGGACGCTAAAGTGAACATTCATTTCTGTGTATTAGCTGTCATGCGGAAGTCACAAAAAAGTAATATTGTTCCTGTCGTTGCAGTTGTTATAAGGTTTTTTTGACGTACAGTATATTTAATGTATAAAATTACCAATTGGACACGTCTGTATACATTGTGCCCGCAGAAAATATACTATAAATATATTGTTTATTTTTTAGACACCTTATGTCCTAGATATTAACCAATTGTGCTCACAATTTTAAAATGTCCTTCATTGTGGAATATATATTTTCTAAATTGGTCAAACTGAAAGTAAGTTTTTCTTTTGAACCCTGATTTAGTTTTTCTGCTTTTTCATCTATATATTTCACTATATTGTAGTCAAAAAAAAGAAATGGCCCAACTCTCATGGGCCCATCTTGTGTGACAAGAAAATGTCAGTATGTCAAAAGCTTCAAAGAGAATAATGAAATATTCTCTACCTATTTGCACACATATGCAGTGCAAACTTTAAACCAATCAGAAAGAACATTGAAAATCATACTAAATATGGATTTGGTGACAAAAAGGGCTAATAACATGTGTGAACTGACAATGTCTCATGCCCTTCATCTCTGATATTGCAGCTGAGCTGTGTACCTCCGTCCCTTCAAATCTTCAACAGCACTTCGGGCCCCGTGTTGGAGTCACTTGGGGACCGAGGCTGTGCACAGAACCCAAAGCACTACAGCTTCATGGCTGTGATGTCACTCATCGCCACCGCCATGCTGGTTCAGGTCAGCCACCTGATTAAACTGGGTCTCATGGTGCTGGTCGTCACAGCAACAGGAGCCGTTAATATCTACAGCTGGAGGGACATTTTCGACCTGTATGACTATATACAGTTTGCCTCGTACAGGTGAGAAATTGTTCAAACAGATAAATGAACTGTGTACAAATTTGTAATTTTGATGAAAATACACAGATAAAGGTGATTCATTAACTTTTAAATGTTTCAGAATTGTTGACTTCTATGAGTTACCTGTGGTGTTTGGATAATTTGTATGGAATGTTATAATACATATCTTTAAAGGCTGTTTCAAATGGTCTCATACCTTTGAGCTTACATCTCCACTTCAGTAGCAGTTCCAGTTTAATTCCTATCTGTATTCTGAAGGATGTAGAAGGGTTTGTTCATATATCCTCGAAAACTTTATTTATATAATATGTATTCCTAAAAGCATTACTGAAATAGATTTTTTTTTTTAAAGCTGCTGACAGTACTTTCTGATTTATGTAAGCATACAAAGACATTTGCTAAATCCCCTCTATAAAAACCTTTGAATATTCAAAGCAAAAGATTTTGGACCCGACTTTATCCAATGTTTGGATTTTCTGTCCTGGAACTATAAGCCAATTAGAACATATTTTATAATTGTATTTAAATATGTTATTTAAAATAATGCCGAATATGCATATTTGAACCTAAACTTTCAGTACTCTTCTAATAATAAAAAAAAAACTCCTTAAGTAAGTTTCAACATGAGCAGTTTAAAGGTAAAATCTATTAGTAAAAATGTTCAACCTATTCGCCCCCAATCTGTGCCTTAAAAAAGCTATAAGATAAATATTCTGCCATCTGTAGTTGTTTTGTTGGCTATATAATACAGTTGTAGTTCCAGTTTACAATATTCTGCCTCCATCTTGTTTCCAGAACATCAATAGTGCCATCCAAGTACCTCATGACCATGATGATCATTGTGATGATGATTGGCTTCTACTTCTTTGCCCGGCATGTGAGTCACTGTCTCCAGTACACCCACTCTGTATCACACTTTTGACCCACAGCCATATAGTGTAATGTATGTTTCATCCAAATAACTTGCTATTTCATCTTGAAATATATAATGATTCTGCGGTGTGTGTGTGTGTGTGTGTGTGTGTGTGTGTGTGTGTGTGTGTGTGTGTGTGTGTGTGTGTGTGTGTGTGTGTGTGTGTGTGTGTGTGTGTGTGTGTGTGTGTGTGAGTACAATCTGTCCACCTGGTACCCTCACATTCACACTCCATTCTGTTTAAACCATCAGGATTCACAACAACGCCTAGAATCCATTGCACACATAACAAATGGATGTAATGCATACAAACGCCTGTACATAGCCCGTCATGACCGTATTGTGGACATTGTGTCTGATGCAGTACAAAACATCTTACCATCTAGCGCAGCAATGTACAAGCACGCTAGAGTGTTACCAGAATGGTTTGGTTTTACCAATGATGCCTTTGCTAACATCCCAAATACACCTGATGTTGTTTTTGTTGACACCAACCACAGGGAGGTGCTAATATTAGAAGTAGGCTGTGCCTTTGACCTGTACATGGACCAGGCTTTCCAGGACAAGTATATCAAATACCAACCACTGTTCGATGTGATAACCAGCTTTGGGTACAAGTGTAGATATAGCATACTTATATTCGGAAGTCTTGGCCAGGTATATAAATGCACCATGATTGGTCTGAGAATTGCTGGAATGTTAAAGAGAAAAACCAAACAAATTGCCAAATATTGCTCTGTTTCAGCTATTATTGGCAGCTTAGACGTGTGGAGAGGGAGATGCTATGTGTTCCCCTAAGTATTCTGTGCTGCTTAGCCCCGATATATTTGATTCTCTGTCTTATGTCATATAATTTGTGGAACCAAATAAAGTATTCAAGTGTGTGTGTGTGTGTGTGTGTGTGTGTGTGTGTGTGTGTGTGTGTGTGTGTGTGTGTGTGTGTGTGTGTGTGTGTGTGTGTGTGTGTGTGTGTGTGTGTGTGTGTGTGTGTGTGTGTGTGTGTGTGTGGTGGTGTGGTGTGTGTGGTGTGCGTGCGTGCGTGCGTGCGTGCGTGCGTGCGTGCGTGCGTGCGTGCGTGCGTGCGTGTGTGTGTGTAGTTGGAGCATCAGTCCAGGAAGCTGTTTCTGTGGAAGGTTGGCGTGCATGACCAGAAGGAGAGGGTGTTTGAGATGAGACGCTGGAACGAAGCGCTGGTCACCAACATGCTGCCGGAGCATGTGGCCAAACACTTCCTGGGCACTAAGAAAAGAGACGAGGTACATATGATATGAACGAGCGAGGGCCAAGTTGTAGTATGACATACAGTGGGGCAAAAAAGTATTTAGTCAGCCACCAATTGTGCAAGTTATCCCACTTAAAAAGATGAGAGAGGCCTGTAATTTTCATCCTAGGTATACCTCAACTATGAGAGACAAAATGAGAAGAAAAAAAATCCAGAGAATCCAAAAGAATTTATTTGCAAATTATGGTGGAAAATAAGTATTTGGTCAATAACAAAAGTTCATCTCAATACTTTGTTATATACCCTTTGTTGGCAATGACAGAGGTCAAACATTTTCTGTAAGTCTTCACAAGGTTTTCACACACTGTTGCTGGTATTTTGGCCCATTCCTCCATGCAGATCTCCTCTAGAGCAGTGATGTTTTGGGGCTGTCACTGGGCAACACAGACTTTCAACTCCCTCCAAAGATTTTCTATGGGGTTGAGATCTGGAGACTGAGTAGGCCACTCCAGGACCTTGAAATGCTTCTTACGAAGCCACTCCTTCGTTGCTCGGGCGGTGTGTTTGGGATCATTGTCATGCTGAAAGACCCAGCCACGTTTCATCTTCAATGCCCTTGCTGATGGAAGGAGGTTGTCACTCAAAATCTCACGATACATGGCCCCATTCATTCTTTCCTTTACACGGATCAGTCGTCCTGGTCCCTTTGCAGAAAAAACAGCCCCAAAGCATGATGTTTCCACCCCCATGTTTCACAGTAGGTATGGTGTTCTTTGGATGCAACTCAGCATTCTTTCTCCTCCAAACACGTCTAGTTGAGTTTTTACCAAAAAGTTCTATTTTGGTTTCATCTGACCATATGACATTCTCCCAATCCTCTTCTGGATCATCTAATGCTCTCGAGCAAACTTCAGACGGGCCTGGACATGTACTGGCTTAAGCAGGGGGACACGTCTGGCACTGCAGGATTTGAGTCCCTGGCGGCGTAGTGTGTTACTGATGGTAGCCTTTGTTACTTTGGTCCCAGCTCTCTGCAGGTCATTGACTAGGTCCCCCCGTGTGGTTCTGGGATTTTTGCTCACCGTTCTTGTGATCATTTTGACCCCACGGGGTGAGATCTTGCGTGGAGCCCCAGATCGAGGGAGATTATCAGTGGTCTTGTATGTCTTCCATTTTCTAATAATTGCTCCCACAGTTGATTTCTTCACACCAAGCTGCTTACCTATTTCAGATTCAGTCTTCCTAGCCTGGTGCAGGTCTACAATTTTGTTTCTGGTGTCCTTTGACAGCTCTTTGGTCTTGGCCATAGTGGAGTTTGTAGGTGACCAAATACTTATTTTACCGAGGAATTTACCAATTAATTCATTAAAAATTCTACAATGTGATTTCCTGGATTCTTTCCCCCATTCTGTCTCTCATAGTTGAAGTGTACCTAGGATGAAAATTACAGGCCTCTCTCATCTTTTTAAGTGGGAGAACTTGCACAATTGGTGGCTGACTAAATACTTTTTTGCCCCACTGTATATATATATCGATGTTTGAGAGTGAGAGAGAAAAAAGGACATGAGTGAGGAAAGTCAGAAAGGAGTAAACATCATCAGGGTGCAACACAAATAACTGCCCTGAAGCCACTTATTGTAGTTATAGTGTATATTATACTTATTTCAATGCTATTTAATGCACATGAGTGCCATCTTGTGGAATATTTCAAAACGACATATTAGGGCTTTCAGAATCAGAATTTGAACACCTTTATTCATCCCACAGAGGGGAAATTTACATTTGCAGAAAAAAGCCAAACACAGCTTAATGTTAACTAAGATGCAATGCATACAAAAAAATATTAAAGACACAAAAATAAATAAAAATGACACAATTTACAAAATACTCATCCTCATGTTTATCTAATAATCAATGATAATAAAAACCGTATTGAAGAAGAAAATAAGCAATATAAAATCAGACACACTAATTCCATGTCATTTGTCATTTGTAGGAGCTGTACAGCCAGTCCTATAATGAAGTAGGTGTGATGTTCGCTTCCATCCCCAACTTTTCTGATTTCTACACTGAAGAGGGCATCAACAACGGCGGCATCGAGTGTCTAAGGATTCTCAATGAAATAATCTCAGACTTTGATAGTGTACGTTTTTGTACAGCTGGTTGTAAAAAATGAGAACAATTGGTACATCTCTAAGGTTTTAAATGCCTACAGTCCATTTGATTAACTGTGTTTGAATGTTACTATGTATTTATTGTATGTCCGCTTCCTTCACCAGTTACTGGATAGAGAAGAGTTCCGCTTCATCACTAAAATCAAGACAATAGGAAGCACCTACATGGCAGCATCAGGACTCACTCCAGAGAGCAACACCAACGACTACAGCAAGCGCAAGGTCTGTAATAAAGTCACTCAATTCATGTTTTTTGTAAACTAATAATGTAATCCAAATTACATCTAATTGGATACTCCTTAACATTGGAAACAATCCATTGTTTATTCGTACATTAATTGCTGTTTCACATGGTGACTGACGATGTTAAAAAGTTGTACTGTTGTTTCACAGCCAGAGGATCAGTCTCTGGTCGAGCGCTGGCAGCACCTTGCTGACCTGGCAGACTTCGCCTTGGCCATGAAAGTCACCCTGACCAACCTCAATAAACAGTCCTTCAACAACTTCATGCTCCGAATAGGTCAGTGTGTGTGTGTGTGTGTGTGTGAGTGTGTGTGTGTGTGTGTGTGTGAGAGTGTGTGTGTGTGTGTGTGTGTGTGTGTGTGTGTGTGTGTGTGTGTGTGTGTGTGTGTGTGTGTGTGTGTGTGTGTGTGTGTGTGTGTGGTGTGTGTGTGTGTGTGTGTGTGTGTGTGTGTGTGTGTGTGTGTGTGTGTGTGTGTGTGTGTGTGTGTGTGTGTGTGTGTGTACGCCTGTATTGGTGCACATCTTTCAAGTTTTTTAATATATCCATGTTTTCAGGTCTGAATAAGGGGGCAGTGTTGGCGGGAGTGATAGGAGCTCGTAAACCTCACTATGACATCTGGGGCAACACGGTCAATGTAGCCAGCAGAATGGAGTCTACTGGAGTGATGGGAAACATCCAGGTACAAACACAAAAGCAAACATACACACTTGAAAACATCCTGTTATATTTTGATGTACTGTTTTATACTGGAAAAGCTCTACCTGAGGATCTTAGACTATTCAATTTATTATCCTTTTTAAAATAATCTCTAAACTCACTTGTTACTGTTGTCTTGATCTTGGTTTTTGTATCAATACAATATCTTATCTACAATTACACAACATTTACTTTTATGTACTGTACAATGGATGTTGTATAATTTCTGATTTTGTCCATGTCTACCCTCAGGTGGTAGAGGACTGCTACGACATCCTTAAGAACTACAGCTTCCGTTTTATCCGAAGAGGGCCTATATTTGTCAAAGGGAAAGGGGAGCTGCTCACCTTCTTCATGAAAGGAAGAGACAACCCTAGTAAAAATGGCGGTCCAATGACCACTACCTTACCACACCAAGTTGTGGACCATTGAAAATTGTCCACTGTGTGAAAAGCTGTTAGGGATAAGCCTGAGCAGAAGGTGACTTACATAGATCTTTTTCATAAGCTCTGTTGCAATGTAAAGCATATGAAAGTAGACCAACACAACACATAATATGCTATACAACTCACGATAAAACTGATTCTGTATAATTGTATATAATTGAGGAATTTAGGAATTGTTATCCTTTTGTACTTGAATCATGGACTGCTATGAGAATTACAAGCTAGGAACAGACGTATACATTACTCTCCTTTGTTGTTTGCCTTGAGCTCAGGTTTTGTAAAAACATTGTAGCTTAATAACACTGTATTTATATTGTCAATAAATATGTTTGCACTACATCTTTGCGGTTCATTTCTGGATCTTGCAGTCTTTAGGGTTATTATTATCAAAATGTCAGAAAGGATTTGAATTTAAATGTGCTGATCATTTCCAGAAGTCAAAACAGTTAAATACATCTTTTGTGATTAACATGTCCTAATTTAGTGCTAAAGTCTAATGTTTAGCCAAGATCAAAAACCCTTTACCTACATTATATTTTAGTCTATTCTTGGAGGATATTAATTTAGGGATGTATGATTTATTGAGCTGTAGGCAGTTTGTTAGGAGAGAAAGAAATCCCACCTGTAGACAATATGGTAATTTTTAAATAGCGGATGAGTTAAATTCAAGTCTCTGGAGACATTCAAATGAATTGTAATGTGATGTTTCATTGTTTTCAGTTACTTATTATGCTAACTAGGTTCTCATGCGCCACCCAGTGATTATAATTCTACCCGGAAGCTTGGTAGTGTAGGAATTTCCGGTCACGTCAGAGCGTCAGCACTCCATTAGAGCTGCAGCTGTTTTGAGAGAAACAACAACAAAAACGGGCTAACTGACAGCGCTCCCACAGTGACAGTCCGCTCTGAGCCCGACAACGAGGCCTCAAATCTGGAAGCTTAACCTTAATTTCCCACCCGGAGCTCCGCCGGCTTCTAACCACGGCCGCTCTCGGTGAGGAAACTCTGGCCTCCGCTTCCTCCTCCTCCGACTCGGACACCGGCGGAGCGTCGCCGCCCCCGCGGAAGAAGCACCGAGCCTCGGCGGCGGAGGGAGCAGGAGAGCCCGGGGCTTCAGCAGTTGTAACAGGCCTCTCCGGAATTGTCTTAGGACTTGCTACTCATTCTCCACACTCTCAAGCCACCTCAGCCATCCACACTAACCGAAGTGTTGTCAACAACCTCAGCAGCAGTATGCAGTCAAACGGTTCAGGACAGGGACAGGAATCTACAGATCTCTCCTGCCTAAACAGCGCACAAAACGGGGAGTCATCGACGGCTGGTGGAACCCACTCCAATGGGCTCCTCTCCAGCACAGACAACGGGAATGGTGTCGGTACCAGTAATGGGTCTGCAACTGGGCCTGGTTCGGGGACTTCGGCGGCCCCTACGGCTTCGGGCTCGGAGGTCGGTTCTCTGAAAAAGAAAAAACGACTATCGCAAGCGGAGGAAGATGTCATCCGATTAATAGGGCAACATCTCCACGGACTAGGGCTGAAGTAAGTTTATTCAAAGTGGAGGAAAATAGAGCATCTACAGTTAGTGTTAGTGTTGAACATGTGAAGTTTAATCTACATAACGTGTGTTTCGAGTGAAACAACAGATGGTAAAAGCGCTGTTAGTGCGCTGACAGACACAAACATGGGGGGATGGGGCAGTTAGCCTGTGAGCTCGGCAGTTGGTAGAAAGAAGGGGTCCATCTTGCACAATAACAGTTAGCTTGGAAGCTAGCAGCATTAGCCTGCGCTTAGGTTGCTATGTCCTGACATTAAACCTTTACACAAAAATAAAACAAAGCTTGACATTTGTCTCCCTAACACATCCATCCATCGTTTAAGTAGTGTTATATGTAATTTACACCATGAAGCGTTTAATCGTGTTTGCACAAATGCATTACATCATCTAACGTTATTTAAAGATCTATGTTATGGTTTGTCAAGCATAATGTCATGCTAATGGTTAACGTTGATTTAGCTTCTTTATTAAGTACACAAGCAGGATTATCGAGTTTGCAGTGTACGTGTTTGCGTTTTTGATGCTATTGCAAGGAAAATGCGGAGGAAATGTTAATGTGCGGTTTGTCAACGTCGGTTTTTGCCCCGATGGTGGTTTTCTTAATTTTCCAGCTCGGGAAAAACAATATGGTTCTTGCAAGACCGTGTGGGAGGATCATTAATAGGTCGGCCACACTGTTATAACTAGCATGGTTATGAAAACTGTCCTGGTTATTTTAGTAATTCACATGCACCGTTTGCACATCCTGGGCTGTCAAGTTGTTACATTGATCATATTAATCGCCGTTTTGTGCAACTATCTCACGATCATCATAACTTCCTCTCTAGCTTCATGTATGTATTTTTCTGTCGCTGTCACCGTGTTGGAGCATCGTGTCAAGAGTCTGTAACAAATACTGACGCGTGTGTTTTTATTTAAAGACAGCAGTCGATACCGTAGGCGACAGTTGGATCTGTATTGAGCAGAATCTGTTGGTTTCATGGCGGCTGAAGAATGCACTTTCTACCAGCTCTTTCACATGGAAACGCTGTGTTTGATCTAATTTTAGCACTATGGGGTTTTCAAGAAATGTAGCCCTCCTCTTCAATGTGGCATTAGTAGTCACTGACATCCGCATATCTCTGGTATCCAGCTGAGAAAGTGTTTAAAAAGCCATTATAAAACACATCTTTATATTTACAAAGACGCTGGGTCAGGGAGGGGGGGGGGACATGAGATTGCCTGGAATGGAGAAGAGCCTCTACATTTCAATGCAAGATAAATCAGTGTAGCAGCCAGCTGGATGAGAGGCTCACCACAGAGCTGCTGCGCCACTCCATTGATACCTGAGGATGATGTCATCATGCTGAAGGTGTCCACCACCCCCATCCCAAACCCACTTTCATTATCTCTCTCGCTCACATCTCGGCAGTCTTATTTGTGTTTTAGCACAGAGGTGGTGTTTGGACAGATGGTTATTCATGGTTGACTGAGAGGATGATGTCAACTGCAGTGGAGGCTCTGTTTATGTTAGAGAGCCCAATGTGTACACAAATAATCCTCATACCTGCAGGGGGCTGGCTTTCTCCAGACACTGTTGGCCATGACATTGCTTTCTTTCTATTGTCAGCTAATGACGCTATTGCTGTTGGAGTGTTAAATTGCTGATCTCCAAACTACTCGCCTATTTACTTTTGGTAAACATGGCTGAGTCACAGTGATGAAATGTCAAAGGTGATACGATAATCAAAATAAGTTGGGTGATCTGCCTAGAATTTGCACTTCATTTAATCATGAGCTTACTTTTTCACTAGACTGATGAGCTCCCATTTTTTTTGAAAGTCCAGAATTGCTCCTTAAATCCCCAAATCCTTATCTTGCCACTTAAATCTTAAGTTGAATTCATCATTGTATTTTCATTTGAAAGCTACCCTCTCCTTTCTTTCATTCTACCTGTCTTGTGTCTATGTTCTAGCCTAACTTTGTCTGCCCCTCCCCTCTCTGTGTCTCTGCAGTCAGACAGTGGACCTGCTGATGCAGGAATCAGGCTGCAGACTGGAACACTCCTCCGCTACCAAGTTCCGCAACCACGTCATGGAGGGGGAGTGGGACAAGGTTGGTTTTGGGTTACCGTGGTTACATAATGGCACGCACATGAATAAACAGGGGATCGGGGGAACTTCCTAGTGATCTGTTGTCTGTACTGAACTTCTTCCATTACATTTATTTGTGAAGATTGTCTCATATGAATAGGCAAAAGCAAACATGATTCCTGTTTGGAAAGCATAATCAAAGTGGCCCCAGTTGTAGAAACTCATACTATTTTTTTGATGAGTACCAATTAAACTATTTTCTTGACCAACAGATCTTACTGTTGAAGTGCCATTTGGCACCTAAACTAGAAATTACAGAGCGCATAGCTTTCTTTACTCGAGTCTTGCATATAATTAATGTATTACGGGTCATGTATTATATTTGACAAAACATTTAATCGGCTACTTTCAATACTAATATTTAGCTCAGGGAAAAATGTGACTTCAGGTGGTTACTCATCGGGTCTTGAATTATTATGTAACAGTACTTTATTTTAAAGCCTACTCTAGGAAACCATTTCTGTCATTTATATAGCAACATAACAAGGCACACATCCCAATCTCTGCCCATTTTTTTTAATTCAAGATCACAATAATGGTTTATCAGAACACTATAATCATAGCCAGGCATTGTTGCAGCATGTTGTCAGGGCTCCATTAGGATGATCATTTAGATATCTCAAAATCATCAGGTTTATATTAGCACATTGGAAAACGTGTTAGCGCTATTGGCTCCTAAACCTACACTCGGCTTGATTACCCTTTTATCACTGGAGATGACTAATTTCAACATATTGGAGCCTATTGAAGCACACGTCTTACTACAAATGGCCTTGTGTGTCCTCTGGAATAATTATCCTAAGCCAAAACTGCAGGACTGAAAATGAACACCAGCGTTGAGCCAAACGGTGGTTTATTTTTTGATTGTGGTGGAATTGGTTTGTACTCTCCAATAACCAATCATGGATCAGGGAAATCGTTTTTTGTGACGGGTGTTATACAATTTAGAATTGTATCACAGCATATAGACATCAGTCCGTTGGTGAAGTCGGTTTTCAATCATCTTGAACAAGAAAGTGAGCACAATAACTGTATTACCGCTCATGTGTTTTTTTTCTGTGTATGCATGGAAACTGCTGAGCTAACCATTTTTCTCTCTCTCTCTCTCCCCTCCATCACCCTCCCTTTGTTTTGATCCAGGCTGAGAATGATCTCAATGAGCTGAGAGCACTGATGCATTCTCCCAATGCCATTGTGGTAAGCTCCCCTTCAACTGAACTGAATGACGGCCAGTCTGGAGGTTCTCGAATAGTTACCGTTATAATGCAGGGCCGCAGGTTCACTGAAAGCTCACACGTTCTGGATGACGCCTCGCAAAGTATAGCTGCAGTACGGACACCGCGTTACTATTAGGGATTTCAAGCAAAACGCTGATTAAACCTAATAGAATCAAATAGGCCTATTATCTTTATTAATATAGGATATGTATCTAGAGCTCTACTGATATAAGATAAAGTATATTAATAACAAAGAAATTAAAGCACAGAAAACACATGTTTCTCCTTTGTACACATTGTCCACTGAAGATAACTGACAAGTTCCTTTTTAAATGTTTAAATATCTTATTTATTATATATCATTGTCACA